TGTCTCAAGGGATGTCGTCACGATTTGCTTGGGTCTCCATTTATTGTGAAGACAGATAACACTGCGGTTAGTCACTTCATGTTCCAACCAAAACTACCGAGCAAGCAGGCTCGTTGACAAGAATTTCTTTCAGAGTTCAATTTTATGCTAAAGTATCATCTCGAATCTAGTAATCATGTTGCTGATACTCTTAGTCAATGGGCCGATTTGGCTGCCATTTGCTCCGTGGCTGCTCTTTCAGGGAGCGTCGTCACCAGGAACACAAGAGATCAAATTCGGGCACTTATGGAGAAGGACCCGGCTACTCAATATTTGGTCGACCTCATCAAGCAGGGTAAAACTCGACAGTTCTGACTCGATGGAGAACTAATGAAGACAAAGGGAGACCACCTATATATTCCCAAGGGCGGAGATTTGAGGAAATCACTAATTACAGAATCACTATACGAGTTGGACAGGGCATCCCGGAGAGGAACACACTTGTGCACTACTGCAACGTGCATACTACTGGCCTCAAATGCGGGATGACATTGCAACCTTTACAAAAATCTGTCTTATTTGTCAGCAAGATAAGACAGATTATCAGAAAAATGAGGGTTTGCTGGAGCCCCTTTCCGTCCCAACCTGGCCATTCGAAAGTGTATCGATGGACTACATTATTAGGTTGCCAAAAGTTGAGAATTTTCGCACTATCATCGTCGTGGTGGACCGTTTATCAAAATACGCGACTTTCATTGTAGCGCCTAAGTATGTATCCGTGGAAGAGACAGCTCAAAGAACTATTTTCGAATAGCTGTCTCGAATTCAAGTTTCTTTTTGTTTTATTCCTTCCTCGAAGTGAGGGCGTCTTTTCGACCTACCTGAGTTGATTTATATTATATCAACTTACCTCTTCTTTAAACATATTGTCAAATACAAGGGACTGCCTAAGGACATCGTCAATGATCGAGATCCTCGTTTTGCGGGCATATTTTGAACTGAGTTGTTCAAACTTCTTGGTTCACTTTGAGCATGAGTTCTAGTTTTGACCCACAATCTGATGGACAGACAAAGCGCTTCAATTTCATGCTAGAAGAATATTTTCGGCACTTTATCTCTACTTCGCAGAAAATTAGGTGAAACTTTTGGATGTGGCTCAGATTTGCTTCAATATCCAAAAGAGCTCTTCCACCAATAAGAGTCTTTTTTAGATTGTTACTGGCCAGCAACCGCTACTCCCTCATACAGTGGATATCGAACAAAGTACCAAGTCTCTTCAAGCGAAGAACTTTTCTCAAGAATGGAAACGAAATATTGAAATTGCTCGGAGTTATCTTGAGAAAGCTTAGAAACGGTACAAAAAGTCTGCAGATCTAAAGCATCGTTCTCTTGAATTCAATGTTGGAGATCTGGTAATGGTTAAGCTTCCAGACAAAAATGTGTACAAACCGACAAGAGGAAAGGACTCAAGATTAGCGCCAAAATATATTTGACCATTACCCATCTTGAAGAGGATTGGAAGAGTTGCATACAGAGTTGAACTCCCTTCATGTTGTAAAATCCACAAGGTCATTTATGTTAGTGTGCTGAAGCCATACTTTGCAGAGAAGGAGGACGCATCTAGAAATGAGCCAAAGTGACCTGTGTTTGAACTGAAGAAAGCTGGAAAGAAGGTTGTTGAAGCTATTCTTGACCATCAAATCACTCAAGCTTCTAGAAAAGATCATCAAGAGTACTTGGTCAAATGGATTGGATGCAGCAGGGAGGAGAATACTTGGGAAAGAGAAAAGGACATTGGAGCCTTCAAACCATTAATTGACAGATATTATACATTGATGGCACTGAGGACATTACCAAAACAAATGGGGGAAAATGTCAAGGACCTCAGTTTTACTTAGCCTCTTGACACAATCGCAACCGCAGTTTGCCCAACTTCGACCGTACATTGTAAATATTAGTTCAAGTTTGAATTTTAATTTTCTTTTCAATGTAATAGTTATTTCAGTTATAAAATAACTCTGGTATTCGTAAACATTTAGTATGATTCCTCGTCATTTAAACGTCTACTCCTGTCACTTAGGTTTTTGTTCAGAATGCTATTATATGGGGTATTAGTCATTTAAAATCCTTTCAAGCTCACTGGTATCCGTCCCCTGCACCAGCAATTGTAATTTTTTGTTTTCGTCAATTGTAATGTTCAATTTTCATCAATCAATGTTCAATTTACTTTCAACGCATTTAAATTCTCTGTTGTAAGCTTTCTACAAAATTGTAATCAAATTTTCTTTCGTTCCGACGCGATCGAGAAAAGACAGAAGGTAGTTTAGCGGAACAGACCATTGCCGCACGACGTCCCTTTCTGTGCCAAGAAAAAAGGCACCCTGTGAAATCGCGGGTCGTATAGCACAGTTCATTGAAATCTTCCCTTCAATACGTAAGTGTAGTTTGCTTTGTGTTGGTAGCTTCAGAAAATTCGACAATGCTTGCTTTACAGAAAGCTCCACTTTTTAATACTAACTATAGAGTATCAAACCAAGCTTTATTAGAATTCTAAAGCTGATCCACGTCTGAACAAATACAGATAGGAAGAAGTTCTAATTCCTTGGTTTTGGGTACAAGTACCCTTTTATTTAAGAAGGGTACTCTTTGGCCAGGGCCGCTACTTGGCCCCCCTGGATTTTGCCCAGGGCATTTAGTTTTATTCTTTATTTAAAATGCTGTTCGAGCTTTTCGTATGATATTGAAGACTCCTCGTGGAGAAGATCGTCAAGATTTCATGGTCCCCTTTGAAACTTGTTCCAAAGCCAAGAATTTGTATCCAATTGGTGTTGATAAAGGGCCCTGGAGGTTCGTCCCATTTTGACACATCTAATCCCAAGGTATTCAGGATGCTAACCAAGAAAATGCATAAACTTCATCAACCAGACCAGCACTTATGTCACTCACTGGACCATTGCTTTTACTTCTACCATCGGAGAAGTACAGTCAGGGAGCCTACGTCTAAAAGAAATCTTTGCTTACAATATCAGGTAAGAGGTTTATGTTACAGAGGCTGGATAAGAGAGAGTATAGAACTCCCACCAAATTTCCTATCCATGACCCATTTGTTTTCGGTTACATGTAGATGAGCTAAAAATCTACTAAATCTATATAATTTTCTCAGCACCACGAGGCTCAGCAGGAAAACCTAAATTAACTGCACGCAGGATGTTGCTTTAATTTTGCAAAGGTAGAGCTCCGATCTCTGATTCCTTTGTTTAGTGAATTTATCACAAAATTTAGACGCTTTGTAGAGTACAAATCAGCTTTCCAAGAAAAAAACCTACATTCCTTGCTTAGGTTGACGGGAAGGAGACTTCAGATGTCGTCTGTATTTTCATCTTTCATGGAGTTCGGACCATCATCAAAGCCAGAACCCGGAGCAAGTTCATTTAGATCAAGAAAACGTCTTTTTCTTACACCTTCAACTTCGTTTTGACCAGTGCTATCTGATCTCTCTGGGGGATGTGTTTCCTCGTTATTGCCCACCTCGAGATGCTCTTCGATGGGCTGATTGATGAGAATCTCCTGCTTATCACTGGCTTCATCAGAATATTGACTTCCCATTGAAAACTCTGTGTTATCACTTGCATTAGAGTGCTTATCTAAAGCACTCGACTTATCAGATTTCATTGATTCGGTTTCAGATTCAGACATCTCATACTGCTTATAATTGACGCGATTTCTGGTTGCTCGTTTACTGCGTCTAAGACCTGACTGGAGCTCACCAACTGACCTCAATTTAGTTTCCCTCCTAGTACGGCCCGGCAATGTTTTGTATCTGTGAGGCCCATCACTCTCCTCACTTGCACTTAACATATCATCTTCTTCCTCTTCCTCCTCTTCAGGATTTTCTTCGTCCAAGTGATACTCTTCGTCTCCTTCTGAGCTACTCGACATTTTCCTCTTCTTTCGTCCCCTTAGATATTCTTCACTGTATACAACTTCACCAACTACATCGTCATCATCAGTGTCAAAGTCGGCCTCGTTATACGCGACCGCTCCCACGAACTCTTCCGTGGAATACCGCTGTGGCCTCTGCCTTCGACGATTGCTACAGTTCATGAAAATATCGTTTCGTCATGGATCAATGAAGGAGAATGAAAAAAGAATACGAATGGAGTACCTGCGTTCCAGTGTCTCGGCTTGTTGATCATCATAAAACTCATCATCAGGAGATTTTGGAGACAGTGCATTTAACTCATGCTGAGAATATTGTGGAGGACCAATCAATCTACCATTTGTCGAAACTTCATTTTTGACAAGAGAATCTTCTTCTTCTATAAGAAAATGTTCTGGGGATGACTCTTTCTTCCTGATGTGAGAGCAAACAAAGAGGTACGTAAAAACAAATCCTATAGCTGTCGGCACACGTGCAAAAAAAAAAGGAAACGAAAAGAAGAAAATATAAGTGGAAAAAGAGAGATTCCACTATGAAGGTGGCATTCTAAGAGAGGCAAAGAAGAACTTGTCCAAAAATGAATGTGCAGTTGTAGCCCTATGAAAGTATCAAAGAATATCTAGGAGTAAGATTCATACTTGGTGACCTTGATGGCATCATTAATTGATCGATCGTAATCATCTGCAAAATCGTCAGCATAACATGATAATCAGACATTGAATAATTGGCCTCAAATGGAAACAAATTGGAGCCATTGATTAACTTATGCAAGATGGGCATATAAAATAAATGGTCCATCTGAAAAGGCCCAAAATATCAATGGCACACATTTTATTTAAGTTGAACAGCTCTTGCAGGAAACAAATATTATAACCCGGAGTTGTAGGAAGTCCAAGGAAAATCTAATATCTAAAAGGCTAAACTAAGTATCCAACCATTATCTACACGTGCTCTCTCTGTCACTTACCAGCTCGCTATCTACTTATTCTTATTGGAAACTTTTAGGCTTTCTTTTTCTATGGGATGGGACCCACAAACAAAACTGACCCAATATATTGGAGGCTCAATTCACAACCACAATCATTTCCAACAAGCTCCCTAAAACAGGTACCTTGAGAAAACTAGTTGAGCTCTGCAGTTCCAGATTTAAAAAAAGATGGTATGTAAATAATTGCACGATAAAATCAAGACATAAAGTTAGTTTCACACAGGCACAAACTTCCTCTCCCACACGAAACCTAGAATATCAGCTAATGAAAGAAAAAGCAAATAGTAATAAGTTAAAGGGAAAGCTTTCAAATTTAGTGGAGCTAGTAACACTTACATATCGATGGAGACAATTATGTAAAGAGAGGACTACAATAGTCTTACCAAAAGTATAAGTCACAGGTTTTCTATCACGGAGAGAGCGCCCAGCAACAAAACCATCCATGTTTATCATGTTATCCAGCATAAGAGCTTGCCTGTTTTGTTTCTTCAACAGTTTCTCTTTCCTCTGTGCAAAGAGCACATATTAGCGCACATAACACCAAAGAGATAATAATTCTTCCAATGAAAAGAATGATGATCAGACTGGATTGGTAGGGTTCAATTTGGTCCAATGATTATTATGTATAAAATCCAAAAGATCAAAATGAGAGGAAAAAAAATAAAAATAGATCATTGGAATATAAGAGAGCACCTTATGGACCTTCTCAATTTCAGGAAGCATGTCATTTTTCAATTTCTTCCCAACCGAAATCTCTGTTCTATTTTCGCTTGAAAAGAGCTTGTCCTGCAAAATAGGGGTAAAATTCAGGACAGATATGAAACATCAAAAGAAAATGCAAACTCCTAGTCCAAGCTTGGCAGTGAGCATGTAAAGTTCCAAGATCATCAAGCATGACGAATGAGTCTCGAAGGGCCAAGATGCACCTAAGTGAAAAGAAATGTTTCATGCACATTCGATATTTAAGGCATATCTCATAAAAGAAACATTCAGAAGGCTCAATGCAATATTTCATTGTTAATCATGCATATTTTCATGATACTTATGAGAAGCAGAATATTTGTTATAAATAAAGATATTGTCTTCAAGAAAATAAGTAGTCAATGGAGGCTCAAACTATTTCACAGGTAACAGATTGTTAAGAATGGTGGTTTTTAATCCCCCCCCCCCGGTCACTAAACTAGGATTTTGATCCTATCTAGTTCTCCCCTGATTGTCTTGATCAGATATGCTAAAGTTCATCCTTCTTTCTTGAGATACTTTTTTCAGTCACTATTGACCATGTTCTTTTTTTCTGCAGCTTCTATTTGCCTCTAATTGTGCTTGCTCCATTTTCGATTTTCACATCCTTCAATTTTCTCAGTGGTCTAAATTCTACACTTATTGATCCCTAAATCCAAACACTAACAAGACAAGCGTATTTGTAATACAAAATACAAACTCATATACATATTATACAATATGGATTTAGTACTCATATGCTAATTTCACCTTTTTCTCTACTATCTTGGTAATTTAATAGCCTATACGAGTAGGAAGAAGCTATATCACCAGACGGAAGGTCGCACTCAATGAGAAGAATCCAAGTTATGATGAACGGGAGGCAAAAGACACTTTAGTCAAGCCTTGGCTCATAAATTCAATGACTGAAAGCCTCATAGAAGTTTGTGATGCAGTAAAAAGGAGCTATCTTGATGTATTTTGAAAGATTAGGGTTTGATGTGGGTTCTAGGGTTTGCAATTTTAAACCGTAATTTTCATATCTCCGATTTCGAGACCCTAGTTTTCAAAGGGTTAGAGGCTTTCCGGAGCAAAATAGAGGGCAGAGGTTCGCTGGAGCAAAATAGAGGGTACAGGACGCCAGACCATAATAGAGGTAGAGTCGCTGGAGCAAAATAGAGGTCGAGGGTGGGTCTCGAAGGATTCAGCCAAGGTTTTAGTGATACAGGAACAATCAAAGCTTTGATACGTACTTGAAATTTAGGCTGAATGATTTTATTAATAGACAATCAGCTTTATATATAATAGTACAATTCAACCCAAGAAAGGAAATAAAAGAACTATTCCTAATTATAGAAAGGAAAAGGAAACAATAATAATCCTACTATATTATTTCTGAATTAAACTAGAATATATAAGTAAAATAAGTTACAATAAATTCCCTATTCATAATTGGTTTCTATTCCAACTTTATGCAAGACAATCATTTCATGAGGGTTTTCGGCAATGTAATTCAAACAAATAAACCACCAATAAATTATGTCGATTGTTCAAATATGAACAATCTAAAATGTGTCATATGCTACCATCGATAGTTATTGTTCATTCGTATTGATGATTACCTGGTTAGGTTTCATTGAACTTGTTCAGGGCCTTTTTATTTGCTTTATTGAGAAGCATCTCGATAATAATAATAATGGACATCAATGGAGAGAAAAAGGCTATATCTACTTCACATAATTCTCTCTGCTTACTCCATGGAAGACAACTATTTTAGAAGGACATGTTGAAAGCAAATACATCAAGGTACCTACCTCTACGACTAGGAGGGAATTTGATGGAGAATTCATTTGGGGAGGTGAATTAATAATTATTATTATTTTCTATTTTTATCTATGGGGGCTTTAAGGGTAGGGAGGGAGATTCTCGAATCTCTAGAAGATTCACAAGATAGTTAACTATAGTGTTATTTCTCTGTACCTTTTTACACGGGCTTTTTGCCCCATTTGTAAACTTTTATCAATTTATCAAAATAATAGAAATTAAAAATAAAACAAGAATTTGGCATTCGCTTAAAGCACTAAATGGTGACAAGAAAAAGCGAACACAACGACTTACTGAAACAGTTTGGAATTCATCCAAATTAGTAGAAACTGCTTCCCACTGGTAAGATGAATGAGGAATAGGAGGTACATTTTTTCCTTTTCCTTTCTTTATCTCAACCTTTCTAATTTCACGATACAGTCGATGACCTATGATAGGATCATCTTCATACCTACAAAAAACAAATATTTTACTGAGCACTCTCTCATCAGAATATTCAATAGAATATATGTATGCATGAGAGGGAAAATATAATTCACTAATCATGGAAACCGACACAAATTTTAGGGGCCCTTCATAATATTGGAGTGCAATAGAATACTGGAAATGCAAAGAATAACACCTGAGCATTTTGCTACTGAAAGAAAGTTACCAATATGAAATTCCATGAGAATCACCCCCGATGCGTTCCTTGCGAAATGCGGAAAGGTGGACACCATGTTTTATTGAGTTGTCTATATAGTTCCGAATATCTTCTTGCTGCAGTATGAGACCATTATATCAATTAAGCATCACACAGAAGAAGGTACACAAAATAAACTACCAAAATGAAGTCACATTGGCCTGTTTTTAGAATGAAATCTTTTAATTAAAACTTCAAAAGTAATTTCGTGTATTGATGCATTTGAGTTTTGAATTCTTATAAAAATGCATTACCAGGGTGTACCAGAAATAGTTCAGTATTCAGCAATACAGGACAAATTTAAGCTCTCTTGGGTCTCCTTAAAACTGTCTCAAGGGATGTCGTCACGATTTGCTTGGGTCTCCATTTATTGTGAAGACAGATAACACTGCGGTTAGTCACTTCATGTTCCAACCAAAACTACCGAGCAAGCAGGCTCGTTGACAAGAATTTCTTTCAGAGTTCAATTTTATGCTAAAGTATCATCTCGAATCTAGTAATCATGTTGCTGATACTCTTAGTCAATGGGCCGATTTGGCTGCCATTTGCTCCGTGGCTGCTCTTTCAGGGAGCGTCGTCACCAGGAACACAAGAGATCAAATTCGGGCACTTATGGAGAAGGACCCGGCTACTCAATATTTGGTCGACCTCATCAAGCAGGGTAAAACTCGACAGTTCTGACTCGATGGAGAACTAATGAAGACAAAGGGAGACCACCTATATATTCCCAAGGGCGGAGATTTGAGGAAATCACTAATTACAGAATCACTATACGAGTTGGACAGGGCATCCCGGAGAGGAACACACTTGTGCACTACTGCAACGTGCATACTACTGGCCTCAAATGCGGGATGACATTGCAACCTTTACAAAAATCTGTCTTATTTGTCAGCAAGATAAGACAGATTATCAGAAAAATGAGGGTTTGCTGGAGCCCCTTTCCGTCCCAACCTGGCCATTCGAAAGTGTATCGATGGACTACATTATTAGGTTGCCAAAAGTTGAGAATTTTCGCACTATCATCGTCGTGGTGGACCGTTTATCAAAATACGCGACTTTCATTGTAGCGCCTAAGTATGTATCCGTGGAAGAGACAGCTCAAAGAACTATTTTCGAATAGCTGTCTCGAATTCAAGTTTCTTTTTGTTTTATTCCTTCCTCGAAGTGAGGGCGTCTTTTCGACCTACCTGAGTTGATTTATATTATATCAACTTACCTCTTCTTTAAACATATTGTCAAATACAAGGGACTGCCTAAGGACATCGTCAATGATCGAGATCCTCGTTTTGCGGGCATATTTTGAACTGAGTTGTTCAAACTTCTTGGTTCACTTTGAGCATGAGTTCTAGTTTTGACCCACAATCTGATGGACAGACAAAGCGCTTCAATTTCATGCTAGAAGAATATTTTCGGCACTTTATCTCTACTTCGCAGAAAATTAGGTGAAACTTTTGGATGTGGCTCAGATTTGCTTCAATATCCAAAAGAGCTCTTCCACCAATAAGAGTCTTTTTTAGATTGTTACTGGCCAGCAACCGCTACTCCCTCATACATTGGAAATCAAACGAAGTACCAAGTCTCCTCAAGCAAAGAACTTTTCTCAAGAGTGGAAACGAAATATTGAAATTGCTCAGAATTATCTTGAGAAAGCTCAAAAATGGTATAAAAAGTCTGTAAATCTAAAGTACTGTTTCCGATAATGGTTAAGCTTTTCGACATAAATGTTTATAAACCGACAAGAGGAAATGACTCAAGATTGGAGCCAAAATATATTAGACCATTATCCATCGTGAAGAGGATTGGAAGAGTCGCATATAGAGTTTCCTTCATGGTGTAAAATTCACAAGGTCCTTTATGTTAGTGTACTGAAGCCATACTTTACAGATAAGGATGATGCATCTAGAAATGAGCTAAAACGGCTTGTGTTTGAACTGAAGAAAGCTGGAAAGAAGGTTGTTGAAGCTATTCTTGACCATCAAATCACTCAAGCTTCTAGAAAAGATCATCAAGAGTACTTGGTCAAATGGATTGGATGCAGCAGGGAGGAGAATACTTGGGAAAGAGAAAAGGACATTGGAGCCTTCAAACCATTAATTGACACATATTATACATTGATGGCACTGAGGATATTACCAAAACAAATGGGGGAAAATGTCAAGGACCTCAGTTTTACTTAGCCTCTTGACACAATCGCAACCGCAGTTTGCCCAACTTCGACCGTACATTGTAAATATTAGTTCAAGTTTGAATTTTAATTTTCTTTTCAATGTAATAGTTATTTCAGTTATAAAATAACTCTGGTATTCGTAAACATTTAGTATGATTCCTCGTCATTTAAACGTCTACTCCTGTCACTTAGGTTTTTGTTCAGAATGCTATTATATGGGGTATTAGTCATTTAAAATCCTTTCAAGCTCACTGGTATCCGTCCCCTGCACCAGCAATTGTAATTTTTTGTTTTCGTCAATTGTAATGTTCAATTTTCATCAATCAATGTTCAATTTACTTTCAACGCATTTAAATTCTCTGTTGTAAGCTTTCTACAAAATTGTAATCAAATTTTCTTTCGTTCCGACGCGATCGAGAAAAGACAGAAGGTAGTTTAGCGGAACAGACCATTGCCGCACGACGTCCCTTTCTGTGCCAAGAAAAAAGGCACCCTGTGAAATCGCGGGTCGTATAGCACAGTTCATTGAAATCTTCCCTTCAATACGTAAGTGTAGTTTGCTTTGTGTTGGTAGCTTCAGAAAATTCGACAATGCTTGCTTTACAGAAAGCTCCACTTTTTAATACTAACTATAGAGTATCAAACCAAGCTTTATTAGAATTCTAAAGCTGATCCACGTCTGAACAAATACAGATAGGAAGAAGTTCTAATTCCTTGGTTTTGGGTACAAGTACCCTTTTATTTAAGAAGGGTACTCTTTGGCCAGGGCCGCTACTTGGCCCCCCTGGATTTTGCCCAGGGCATTTAGTTTTATTCTTTATTTAAAATGCTGTTCGAGCTTTTCGTATGATATTGAAGACTCCTCGTGGAGAAGATCGTCAAGATTTCATGGTCCCCTTTGAAACTTGTTCCAAAGCCAAGAATTTGTATCCAATTGGTGTTGATAAAGGGCCCTGGAGGTTCGTCCCATTTTGACACATCTAATCCCAAGGTATTCAGGATGCTAACCAAGAAAATGCATAAACTTCATCAACCAGACCAGCACTTATGTCACTCACTGGACCATTGCTTTTACTTCTACCATCGGAGAAGTACAGTCAGGGAGCCTACGTCTAAAAGAAATCTTTGCTTACAATATCAGGTAAGAGGTTTATGTTACAGAGGCTGGATAAGAGAGAGTATAGAACTCCCACCAAATTTCCTATCCATGACTCATTTGTTTTCGGTTACATGTAGATGAGCTAAAAATCTACTAAATCTATATAATTTTCTCAGCACCACGAGGCTCAGCAGGAAAACCTAAATTAACTGCACGCAGGATGTTGCTTTAATTTTGCAAAGGTAGAGCTCCGATCTCTGATTCCTTTGTTTAGTGAATTTATCACAAAATTTAGACGCTTTGTAGAGTACAAATCAGCTTTCCAAGAAAAAAACCTACATTCCTTGCTTAGGTTGACGGGAAGGAGACTTCAGATGTCGTCTGTATTTTCATCTTTCATGGAGTTCGGACCATCATCAAAGCCAGAACCCGGAGCAAGTTCATTTAGATCAAGAAAACGTCTTTTTCTTACACCTTCAACTTCGTTTTGACCAGTGCTATCTGATCTCTCTGGGGGATGTGTTTCCTCGTTATTGCCCACCTCGAGATGCTCTTCGATGGGCTGATTGATGAGAATCTCCTGCTTATCACTGGCTTCATCAGAATATTGACTTCCCATTGAAAACTCTGTGTTATCACTTGCATTAGAGTGCTTATCTAAAGCACTCGACTTATCAGATTTCATTGATTCGGTTTCAGATTCAGACATCTCATACTGCTTATAATTGACGCGATTTCTGGTTGCTCGTTTACTGCGTCTAAGACCTGACTGGAGCTCACCAACTGACCTCAATTTAGTTTCCCTCCTAGTACGGCCCGGCAATGTTTTGTATCTGTGAGGCCCATCACTCTCCTCACTTGCACTTAACATATCATCTTCTTCCTCTTCCTCCTCTTCAGGATTTTCTTCGTCCAAGTGATACTCTTCGTCTCCTTCTGAGCTACTCGACATTTTCCTCTTCTTTCGTCCCCTTAGATATTCTTCACTGTATACAACTTCACCAACTACATCGTCATCATCAGTGTCAAAGTCGGCCTCGTTATACGCGACCGCTCCCACGAACTCTTCCGTGGAATACCGCTGTGGCCTCTGCCTTCGACGATTGCTACAGTTCATGAAAATATCGTTTCGTCATGGATCAATGAAGGAGAATGAAAAAAGAATACGAATGGAGTACCTGCGTTCCAGTGTCTCGGCTTGTTGATCATCATAAAACTCATCATCAGGAGATTTTGGAGACAGTGCATTTAACTCATGCTGAGAATATTGTGGAGGACCAATCAATCTACCATTTGTCGAAACTTCATTTTTGACAAGAGAATCTTCTTCTTCTATAAGAAAATGTTCTGGGGATGACTCTTTCTTCCTGATGTGAGAGCAAACAAAGAGGTACGTAAAAACAAATCCTATAGCTGTCGGCACACGTGCAAAAAAAAAAAAGGAAACGAAAAGAAGAAAATATAAGTGGAAAAAGAGAGATTCCACTATGAAGGTGGCATTCTAAGAGAGGCAAAGAAGAACTTGTCCAAAAATGAATGTGCAGTTGTAGCCCTATGAAAGTATCAAAGAATATCTAGGAGTAAGATTCATACTTGGTGACCTTGATGGCATCATTAATTGATCGATCGTAATCATCTGCAAAATCGTCAGCATAACATGATAATCAGACATTGAATAATTGGCCTCAAATGGAAACAAATTGGAGCCATTGATTAACTTATGCAAGATGGGCATATAAAATAAATGGTCCATCTGAAAAGGCCCAAAATATCAATGGCACACATTTTATTTAAGTTGAACAGCTTTTGCAGGAAACAAATATTATAACCCG